CAGACACAACATCAGCATTAGAAGCAACAGAAATATAAATAAAAATAGAAAACAGGAAGAACTGCCACAACAATTGCTTTAAATGGCCAGATCTTGTCCGAAAACAGGAAAACTTTCTTGGGTTATAGCTTGGCTAATTCCTTATTTAAGTTGGCGAAATCTAAAACGAATTGGCTAACAAAAGTTTTAGAAAGCGGTAGAAGAACTGTTATACATTGCTGGCTTAAATTTATTGGTACTTGGACAAGTTATACAATGCTTAATGCTTCATAAATAATTTTACCAAAAATCCATAGAAATTTGAAATCTTTTTAAAACTGATTATTAGATGTTTTAAGTACGCTTGAAAGGGTGCACATTTTCACTACTTTAATATATAATTTCAAAGTCTGTCATGTTTTTCCCATAAGCTTCAACATTTCTGAACTTTATTCTACTCTGATTTCCATGCTCTTCATATTTTTCGGCTTTTTAGAAGTGTGTGGGTGTTGACCCATTGTTTTTGGTCAAGATTCAATACGATTTTTTCGAATGCCAACTTAAAAGTGAATGTCCCCTGTCGCGCACACACATGAGCACATACAAATTTACCATTCTGTTTGTTGTTTAGCTGTCTTTCTCCTTTCTTTCCTTTTTTCATTCACTTATTTTGCTGTTCTTGTTGTAATGCAAAAAGCGCATCAGGCATTTGTATGCATTAGCTGGCAAAACGAACATTTTATGGCAGCTGAGAGGGGGCAAAAGCTGGGGAGAACTGGGGAAAAGCGAGCCAGGAGAGATGGGAAATGGCTTTAGCACAAATATGCATGTCGGCACATTCTTGCATAGAATTGCACTTAAATGCAGAAAATGGCACACAGCATAAGCGAGGGGTGAAGGGTTAGTAGTGGGGTTGGGAAAAACTAGGGGAAAGTCCTGCGGAAACCCAGAAAATGCGGCCATAGCTGGACAAGAGCTTGCTGGGCACTTATAGGGACGTCATGAAAATCAGGAAACAGGATATATTAAGTTTGAGGAATGGCCGAAGCCTGGACACACTAGTGATGTTGCTGTTGTCGCAACAATAAAATAGCCGCAGCAGCAACTCCAGAAGAAGCATGGCCGTAAAACTGCCCCCCTTTGGCCACGCCCTCTGTCTCTGCGACACTTTTTATGGCCGCCCATAAAACAGCAGCAATAGCAACAGCAATACGAGCAGCAGCAGCAGCAGCAGCAGCAGCAACAGCAGTAGCATATAGCCACCACAGCAGCAACAACTTTTTTTCAATTGCCTGCCACAATTTCTATTAGTGTAAATATGCAAAGTACATGAAGACATGAGGCTCAACTTCCGCTGAGCTTGGCAATATAAAATGCAAAATGTAACAATGTTGTTGCTGTGAGTGTTGCCACTGCTGTGTCTACTGCTGTTGCTACTGCTAATGTTGCTGCTTCTTCTGCTATTGGCATTTGGAATTACAATTGCAGGCCATATTTAAAAATCTCATTTCCAAACGCTTTTCCCATTCACACTTCATTTAAGCGGGAAAGAGAGGGCCAGCGACTAATGGACAGAGACAGGGAGAGTGAAGGAAATTTAAAGCAGACGCCATTAAATGAATGGAGCGACGTTTGAAAACAGAGAAGAAACATTAGCGAAGCAAATTGCAATGAGCAGGAAAGCAAAGCAAAAATTTCCACCAATGGCAAAAAGGGGGGGAGATAGGGGGGAAATTGCAGAAATGCTAATGACTTAATATCGTCTACCTGGGAGTTATTCCTTTGAAACTTAACTGTCGGCAGCGTGTTAATTGCAAATGTTTCCCAACCAAACGCCACTCGGAACTCGGTCTAAATAATTTTATGATTTGCTCAATTAAATGCTACTTTCGGCCCTTTATCAAAGCAATTTAATTTTATTAGGCACGAGCTTTAATCTTAAGTTTAAACTGACATTCATGCACAACTTAATTAGCTTTCAAAATAATGGTTTGGGATAACGAAATATTTAGTTTGGCAATTAAAGCGTAGGTTTTCGTGCATGTTGAATAATAGGCAAGCATAAAAAGTTTATTCATCTAAAGAGTAACTTAAATAAATAAATCTGATAAATGAAATTGTAAAAACATATTCATTGGATTAAATGGGAATAGGAAAAGTTAAACCAATATATAAACCACATGCAATTTTATTATATTTAAAATTCTAAGGGGAAATTGATTCTATTACCTATTTTGTTTAAACGGAATAAAGAAGCAGTTATAAAAAACCCCAATTTTATATTATTTTGAAACTATATAAAAGTATTTGTTCGCTTCTATTAAATTTCATAAAATGAAATAAAAATCTGTGCACATCTATTCTAATTTGAATTCCACTTATTTTTTTATGCAATGAATAAAAAAGTGTTACACCTAAAGTTAAAATTAAACAAATGAATAGTAACATATAAATACCTATCGATTTAAAAGAAGGTAAAAAGTTTTGCCAAAGCCTGCACCACTTAAAATATTACAATTTCCATTCAAATTCCATTCGGAAGTCGAATATCGAGGCGCACTTTTCGCCTATCACAGACCAATATGAAATATTAATAATCCGGCGAGTTCAGGCCATGGTCATGACTCAAAGTTTTCGGCGTTGGCGTTTGGGCATTAGAAATGCAAATTTCACCGTCGAGCGGCCAGACTCTATCAGTTTAATGCCTTTCACTGCGATTTGGCCCGTCTGGCGACCCACTCTCCATCTTTTTTTTCTCTTTTTCCGGTGAATGCAACACGTGCGCCATAAATCATCTCGGGAGGCGGTCGCCTGATGGTCGGAATATGGTGGGTGGCTAAGCGCCCGTAGCGAACCAATTTCAAAAATCAAATCAAAAATAGTTTGCAAAGTTCCAAGTGCTTTAACTCCCGGCAAACAATGCAACAAATTGCAGCCAGCGCGCAGGAGGAACTTTGTAATTGTCTTGCTGGGACACGTGGGCGCCATGGCCACGACCATGTCACCTTTGTGACGCTGTTGCTCCCCCACTCCTCCAGTGCTCCACTCCTCCTCCCAGTGAACCCACTCCTTCGGGCCATAATAGACAGCCATAAGCGAAGTCATCGCAATTGTGGTCGCTTGGCTGACGCCCTGGTGTCTTTGGGCTCTCAAGAAATTCGCCTGCGAAATTCGCGATGCGTTGGCATTGTCTGGCCGCATTGCTGGGATACCCAAGTTAAAAACTCTTATCTGTCCTCCGAAAGAAAAGACTCGTTATGAAAGGAGGGCTTTAGAAACATGTGAGCTTCGAAAATAATGGTGACATTCAGCGATCGTGTAACAAAGACCATTATTGCAAGTTCTTGGAAGTGGTTGCCATTTATACAGGATATTATTGGAAAACAAATTGTTGTATAAACATTTTTAAAATAGACAACCCCTTAACTAACAATATTTAAATAATTAAAATAAATAATAATATACCCTTTCCAACATAATCTCAAACAAATTTATATTTCATGGATTTCTTTAGCATACATATACACAAATTAACTGTTGAAGCTTGAAGAAAAATAGTTAATAATAACAAGCAAACTTATTTATGGAAATAATTTCTTCAGGTGACCTAATTTAGTTGAGTGTATTTATCCTGATACCCACTTATGTCTCTTTAGTTCAGATCAACTCAACTGAACTCAACTCGATTCCCTGACGGACACAAGTTTTTCTTCACCGTTGAAATTTAATTGAATGCAAAGTTTTTGTCTGTCTATGGGCTCCGTTCCCCGCCGGCTTTAACCCAGAGTGCCGACTGTTAATTTGCTTTGAATGAAGTCGAACATGTGTGCCACGCCCCTCCCCCCTGCCACCGCCTACTCTGAGGCTCCACCTGAAGTTAGCATGCATATGTGAATTGCGAATGTGAATAGTAGTAGTTCGCTGGCATATCGCCGTGCGTCGCTGCCATTTGTGGGTGCAAATGTCACGTTGACTTGGCCTGCTAGTCGTTTCCGTTGTAGTTGTAACTGTCGTTGTGTTTGCCGCTCAGCTACGTGATGTGGGGATGGGTTTTGGGGGTGGTTCAGCTGGTGATTCGGTGGGTGGGCGGCAGAGCGTGTGCCGGTGACAGGGAGACTGTGTCAAAGGGCCTGACTGCGGCTCCGTCTGATGCTTGATTATGGTGTTAACCCCTGCGTGAACTTGCACCAGGTGTGACCCCCTCCCCCTTCCCATCCCCCCATCGCCATTCCCATTGAAATGTCACCATTTCAATTGGCCCTCACACAACCCCTCGCCAAAACAGTTTTCATGCTTGTTAGGGAATTTGTATAATGCATAAAGTGTCGCCGACAACTTTGCGTATACGTAATGTGCAATGTGGCAAACTCCACAGACCGTGCCGTGATGATGAGCAATTAGCAAACAATGCCAGCATTTTCATTTTCACTTAAAAACAAATAAGTCCAGTGAGCGAATGAATAAATGACAGAAAGACAGTTAAAATAGGAGTAAAATAGCAGGCAGTGAATGGGAGTGTCGCATTTCCACTTGGGAATAGACTTAATTTATGAACAGTACACAAAAAAAAAGTGTAGACCAACAAAAATATATGGAGTTTTTGGATTGTTCATAATACAGAAAGATGAAATAGTGTGTATAACAGTAGCTTTTGGTAAACTACATTTTAGACTTCCATATTTCTGCTTTGAAAATATTTGTTTTATAGTGATAAAAAACCCAACGAAATCAAAATTCACTGAACAATTCAAAATCAAAATTTAAAATCTTTCGCATTCAGCATAGAAATTAATTCTTTAAAATATTATTGAGGAATCTAACGTTGTTATGATATATGTATATTTCATATTCCTTTATATTCAAAAAGACTGCCACATGCTTATAAGCAATATTATTATTCCTTTTGACCTGTAGTAGAGTTAACTAATGAAACATAAATGAAAAAGCGCTGGCCTTGCGAAAGTCCTTCTCATAATTAAAAGTCAACTGTTTAATGGCAGAGTGGAATTCGCAGTACTCACCAGTTGTTAAAACGCTGACAGGATTCGCAGTGACATGCGGCGACCCATCCGCTGGCAGTAATAATTTGGAGGACCCGCCGCCAGCTGGCTGTTCGCTGCTGCTGCTGTTGCTGCTGTCAAATATTTGGGGCCCTGGCAGGACATCTTCATAATGCAAACTATCCGGCTTTATGAACGGAGTTGGCTCAGCGGAAGTTGTAAAGTTATGCTCATCATCAACGTCAGCCGCAAATAGCGTTGCCTCCCGCTGATCCGTTGATGTTGCTGCTGTCCCTGTTGATGTTGCTGCTGTTGTCGGCGATGTTGCTGTTGCTGCCGCGTTTCGCTTGCGATTGTAGTATTCGTAGTTTGTTTTCGTTGCAGCCACACTGGCATCGCTGTCATCAGTTGTCGCCGCTGTCGCAGTCGTGGCTATGATTTTATCCTCGACCATAAATTGCACTTTTTTGCGTGAACCCGGCGTGATTGCTGCTGCAACGGCAATGGGTGTAGGTGTTGATGTGGCCATGGGCGTGCTGGTGGGCGTGGGCGTGGCAGCTGTCCCCGTCGGCGTTGGTATATAGAACTGTGACTTGCCCGCGGGCGTCACCAGGCCAGAATTGTCACCAGTCGGAGGAAGTGGCAGAGGAGATGCCCCCACTCCAGGCAACTCCAGAGTCGAGGGGCGCTTAAGAATGGACTTGATGGCTGGCGAAGTGGGCGTTACAGTGAGCACTGTGTAAGTCGAATCATCGTTCTCTACCGACTTTTCCACTTCAGTGGGAGTAGCCGCCTTGGGCTTCACTGTGATTGTTGCTGCTGTTGCTGTCGGGATTTCTGCCGGCTCATCCGCTTTTTTATTGCGCGGCGGTCGTCGCGGTCCATTAGATGTCGCCTCTCCGCCAGAGACTACTATAATTCGCTCATAGCTGTCACCTGGATCGGAGTTATCGCCGGACTTATCGCCCAGACTGATCCGCTGGCCAGCAATGGCCGCCACATTGCCGCTGTAGAACTTGCTGCTGCTGCTGCTGGTGGAGCTCCTCTTCCGCTCCAGCTGGTCATCGTTGAGCCGGGCATCGGCCACATCGAAGTGGTCGTGGGGCTTCCTTAGGTCACTCTGCAGCTTACCACTTTCGCTTGAGATCAGGTCGTAGGGATTGACGTGGCATCGGAGTATGGACCGCCGACTGGCCGCCCTCGAAGCCAAACCGCTGCTCTGGAGCAGGGATTCATTGTCCTCCATGAGCCAGCAGTCCGTGGGATCAGCAACTGCTGCAGCTGGAAGGACGGCCCCTTGGGACTTCTGGCTGGAAGGGGCTGGGGGCGGAGGTGCCCTGGTTCGAGTGCGACCCCTGGGCTGATTGCCCCCGACTCACTGCGACTACGTGACTTGCCGTCCGCATCCTTGCAACTCGGTTCTGGGGAAAGGAGTCGCGTGCGTCGCATCAGGTCGTAGGGATCCTTCTGCGGATCCAGAATGGAGGGACGTGATTTCTTGGTGGCACTCACCACCCGCATGGTGGCCGCCATGGTGGGTCGACGCGAGTTCCCGGCTCCGCTGACAGCTGGCAGACGCACTGTGCCCCCAGTGCCGCCGATGGTGGCAAGGGGCAGGCGCGACCCCTTGCACTTCTTGCACACGCTCGCCTTCTTCACGTCACGTTTCGTGCCGTTCAAGTACTCGGCACAGGAGCAGATCACCACGGCCAGGGCGGTGGTGCCGGGCACGCCCTCCGTTGCCGCGAAAATCGCCGCCGCATGGGGATGATAGCCGTAGGAGGGGCGGGCGGGAATGCCCCGCACTGTGCCGTAGATCCACGGCTCCGCGTACTTCATCGAACGTGAGAGGGCGCTGGGCAGGAATTCGGCGGAGGGAACTGGCGGCAATTGATACGCGGTCACCATCTGGTGGTGGCCATGGTGCGCCATGTGTTGCTGCTGCTGCTGCTGTTGCTGCTGCATGTGCAGCTGCAGCTGCTGCATGGCCTGCATCCCGCTGACGGCGGCTAGAGAAGCGTTCTTGTCCACGCTGTCACCGCTGCCGAGCGTCTTGAGCCGCTGACTCCACGATTTCTTGGACTTGTCGTACATGAGCTGCATGAAAAAATACAAACATACATATAAAAAGCTTTGTATTCAACTTTACTTTGATTTTATCTTTACGTACATTTGGATTTTTAAAGATCTCTTTTATGATTTCAATTTCCATTTTTATGTTATTTTTATGAAGAGTATCAATTAGCTTTCTTTTCATTAACACAATAATTTTTTTTTAATGGCTTTGTTTAATACCCTCATTTTAAACTTACTAAAATTTAAAGTTATATATATTATGGTCACTTTATTACGGTTTATTTATGCTCAATTTATAATAGCCTATTTTAAGCAAATGTAACCTTGACATAGAAATAAATAATATCTCTAAAAAGTAAAGCATTAAAATCACTTTTAACAATTCAATCTTGAACAGTTGTTATCGTTTCTTAGTTTATTTTCAAATTCACGTTAAGGAAAATCGGTTTTATGTTACATCACTATCATTTAGATAAAAAAAGAAGGCATAGAATATTTTATTTGTTTTTAAAGTCACGACTAACCTTTCTGTCCTTGTTGCTAGTGCGCTCATAATACCCAATTTAAATTAATGGCTCCGATGCACTCTGTCCTTTGTTGCTCATCAGCTGAAAACCGCCTGCTGCCTGGAAAGAAAAAGATAAAAAGCGGAAAAATTATTAAAGCGCAACGCGTCCAGCGGGAAATCCGTTTAGAAAAGTTTTATTATTGAAAAAGTTTAAAATGCGATTATGTGCAGGCAGGGGGAAAAAGAGTAGTGGCCGTTCTGTTAGGGTTTCATCTAATGTTTGTGTTTCGCTTTTCAGTTTGCTAATGAAAGGCGGACCTAAAAAATGGCCATGGATTAGGCAGGAAATTGATCCGCAAAATATATCATGTTTACCTTAATTAATTTTGGGCCCTAAATAACTAAAATTGTTCGCTCACTTTTGGGCAGCTGTGTCTTTTCAGCTTCAATCGCATCAATGCTTGAAACTCAATTTGCCACACACAAATCCCCAGCAATTTCTCACAATTCTCCAGCTTATTCGTACTCCTTGGCTGCCAAATCAAATAAACCAGTCAAAAGAATATAAACCGCATTCAAGGCTCTGCCACTTTTCTTTTTTTGGGAAAGTTCTTTTCAGGCTGCTTTCACTAGAGAGTGGAGATTGGCAGAGAGAGAGTTGGCCGAGAGTAGCACCTACACACTGGTTGGAAAAGCGTGCAACTTTGTTTTCATTTCGCCAGTGAATTTTTGTCATCATCGTGACCACTTTTCACAATCAGTGGCAACTGGACAACGACGACGACGACGACGGCGACGGGCCAGAATCTTTTCTTGTTTTCCTGTTGCGATTGTTGCTCTTGGTGTTGCCGCTTTCTGTTGCCAGTTGCTGTTCCGTGATGTTGCCGCTGCATCCTGCTAGTGGGCTAGAGTGCTAGTGGATATTAATCAAAATGCGAGGCGAACTCCCACGCGAGAGGTGTTGGCACACTTTGGACCTGGTCTTGGCCCGGCTTAGTCTTGGCCAGAGTTTTCTTATTGTTGTTCTCGTTTCTGTTTTCGGGTTCTTGGCCTGCAAACACGTTCGCGCTCTGCCGCCGCCACTGTCCCGTTGAGAAATGTTGATAAATGTTGACAATTTTTCCGGCAACCACTCGTGATAAATCTAATTTTTCTCTGGCTCTGGATCTGGCCACCGCCTTCAACTTGTACCGTGCTGCCTGCCTTTCAGTTAGTTGCATTGTTGTCACCAGCAGTGGCTGTTCGTGTTGCTGTTGTGACTGTTGCTCTCTTGCAGTTTTGATTACATGGCAGCAGCGGCTCCTCGTTGCCGGCTGCCCTTGTGTAGGTGTGAAATAAAATTAAAAACGTGTCATTTTTTGCTTTATCGCTTGACGCGGTGGCGCTTTTGCCCCGTGGGTAAGGTAGGAGTGCTGCCATGACCCCAAACAGCAACATGGCAACACAGCGAAGTAGCAACATGATCGGGAACAACAGCAACATGGGCATGGACATGGGTGAAATTTAAGCCACTTTTGTTTGTTGCCGGTTTGACTGACTGTTCGAGGTTGAGGTGCTGAAATTGTAAGCATTATGGCGAGTTTCACTTCCTAAAAAATAATACTCATACGCAGGGTGGGACGGGTTCTATAGTATATAGTTCTATAGTACATATAATACATATAAATATCTAGTTTTTGAAGATTATCTAATTTCTGACAAGGGGCAATTGCCAATGGTCGTATATTTAGGTAACTTATATAAAATTGTGTTATTGTTTTATTAATTATTAATATACTGTTTATTCTATAAAATATTCCGAAGTGGCAGACAAATCTATAAAGACTTTCGTTGACAAATTTCCCAGCAATAACATTTTAAAAGATTTACTTTTTATGTGAACATTTTTCATTTTATTAAGTTATATTCTCTATTAAATTTTATAATCTTCTTTATACAGCATGCAAAACAAATAAAATGAATCAATCAAATAATAATTTAATCGACCGTTTTCACTAAAACTTCCAAATTTCACCTTACCCTTAATGCTGAACATAACTTAGCATATTCATTTCAAATTTTTAAAGGGACTGCACATCATTTAATTTACTTTCATTGTATCATCTCCTTTTATGTTTATTTTCTTTCTATTGATTCCCTTGTCGATGGTTTTGTGAAAGTCATTCACTTTTGTCTGCGACTTCTTTACCTGGCGCATTCATTTTTCACTTGGCATAATCAGCAATCAGAGAGAAGAATTTGCATTTAAGCGGATTTAAGCTGTAATTAAGCACTTTGATTGTCTCTGGCTGTCTGGCTGGCTTTGGTCTAATCCGTTTCCATTCCAGCTTCATAATTTTTCACGCTCAATTGGCCGCGACTGCTGGAGAATCGCTTCGCCACGTTTTTTTATTCGCCGCATTTGCGCCAAATGCAATTTGTCATTATAAATTTACGTCAGTTTAGGCAAAGGCAAAGGGCCAGAATCGAGAGGGGCCAGGACAGACGCAACGTAGTTGCACAAAAGTTTGCTTCCTTCGAGGAGGCAAGTGGAAAAAAGAACTACTGCATTTTTCAATATATTTCCAAGTTGACTCTCTCTCTCTCTGTGCACAAAGTTTTCCCCTTTTTCTTTCCGATTTTGTTATTGTCTTGGACCTTTTGGTAGTTAGGTGTCGGTTTCTGCAACCCCCAGCCACCCACGAAACTTGGCCATGCCGCAGATTGATGGTCATATGAAAAAGTAGTTAACGCCCAATCGAAACTGCAACTGAAGTCGAAGCCGGGCTAATTAAGTGACTGGGGGTTAAAGTTTAATATAAATTCCAGTAATCATTTGCCCATTTGCAGCTGTGCGAACATTTAAAATGCAATTATAGCGCACAGACAAAGGCGAAATAAAGAAGCTGAGTTGAGCTCAGGGAAAAAACTAGGTGCTTCCATTGATGTGAGCATATGCTGGCCGTTGGATTGGGATCATGCCATAAGCGGCTTAGCGGATTGCAGACGCTGAACGACTGGATGGCCAACAGGCAACTCCGGTTTCCCAGGTAACGCAGACACATCAAGCATACGCTCCGTTGTGCAGCTCTAAATTAACAATTTCATTTAGCTGTTTGTCAGCAACTTAATTTATTCAAGTGATGACGTCGCCGGCGCCACCGTTGCAGTCAGTTCGAAAAATTGGCCAAGGAAATGGGAGGATGAGGTGGAGGTGGAGGGGGAGCAGAACCAGACGACGACGACATAATCACCGCTTTGGAGCGCCAAATTTACGCGTTTCAAGCGCTTGGCTAAGCTCAGCTCAGGCCAAGAAATATAATGCAGGAGAGTGAGAAGAAAGGGTACTCGAAAGGGATCAGGAAGCGCTGAGGGCATTGCACAGAAACACTGATAAAAACACCATATAAAGTTTAGTTTAAAACAATATTTAATTTACTGTACTACGATTATTAAGTCACTGAGGAAAACAAGTCATAATAGAGGAAATATTGAGGCAACCAGTAAAACTCAACTGCAATAGATTGTTCTGCCAGCATTTAGCATCATTGTTGAGTTATCAAATCAATGTAAAATTTCCCGATTCTTCATTGCCAAAAGACTTGCCACAAGTCAATACCTTGTGATGATTCTAAAAATTTCAAATAAATCTTTCTAAAAACCAATGATTAAGGGCTACTTTTTTAAAATGTTTACAATTAGCTTTGCTTGGGAAAATAGCACTTCAGAAAATAGCTCCAATAGCTTTAACAAATAGTTATAGAATATAATTTGGAAACTTTCCATAAGTGTTTTAAATATTTTCATTTGTCAATGAAAGTGGACTTAGTAAATAAAGTTACAAGAAATTTCTTTTATATATGAACCGCAAGCAATATGTTTTCATTCTAAGAAAGAATACTTATAAAATTGAAATAAATATTAATTTGTTTACCTAATAATCAAATATGGTATTTGAGACTCCCGATTTTCTCTGAGTGGATAGCCTCCGGGATTTTCGGCTGCCAAGCGTTGTAGTGGAAGCAGCAGCTTCATCCTGAGCAGGAGATGGAGTTGCAGGAGATGGAGCTGCAGGAGCAGGAGCATAAGCTTCAGCTGCCTTAAGTCCTCTCTGAAGGCGACGTGTGCAACTGTGAAGCTGCTTCCTGCCCCGCTGCTGCTGCCACAGGCGGTTGCCAAAAGAACCCGACGGATGCGCAGACGAAGATGAAGTGGCTGACGGCTGACTGGCAGCGGAACCCGTCTGAGCCGGCACTCTATTTATATTGAATTAAATTTATTGAAAAACCTAATGAGGGATCTTTCCTGCCATCAGTTGCAGCCTCGTTTCGGCCACAATGCAGTTTCAAGACAGTCGGCAGATTTATGCTTTGGGAAATTAATTTATGCGCCAGACAGTTAAGTAAATTACGACAGGCATAAATTGCCAAAACCGAAACCGGGAAAGGAACTTTTGGAGGCATTAAAGTAATTTACTAAAACGTACACATGGTTTTGAAACGGGACGAAGGGAGGCGACAACAAACTAATTGAATTTGCTACTTAGTGAAATGTGAAATGTTAACAACTTTTGTGGTACATTTACTTGTAGGCTGTAGGCGCTGGCAAAACTTTTGCCAGCCAAGTTAACGCACACACCTCGTTTGTCTTAAAGTGCAGCGACAGATGCAGAAGCAGCCATTAAATTTACGCAATTAACCAGACGCAAACGGAGACTGTCTGGCTGGAGTTGCTTAACTTTGCTAAACTAATTAAAATGCATATTCTGCAGCAAGTTCTACACCAACGTAAATGCGAAAACTTTCGCTTTGGTCGCCGAGTAACAGGCAACAATGCAACATGCCCACAAATGGGATAGGTAAACAAATGGCTGGCAGCCTAAGTCAGGATACTCCATCCTCCATCCTGAATCCACCATCCACATGCAACCACCGCAGAAGGACGACACGTTGATGACAGTTTTGTCCAGGGCCCCTGCAATTTGTATAACATGCTGGGCAGTTCCTGCCAACTCCTTCGCCTCTCCTGCGCATTTTGCTAAAGCAAAACTTTTTGTAAACTCATTAGGGCAGTTGGCCAAGCAGGCAGCCAAGCGACTGCGCTAACCAAACGGGCCCAAGCCAAAGCCAAAGCCAACAACAAGGCCAGCACAGAAGGCAACTTTTTGAAAGAAAACAGCCATCTAGTGACAGGGAAGTACACAGGGGGAAACCACTAATGCTTTATTTTTTAAGGGTTATCATAGAAGAATATATTTAGGAATTTTAATCTTTGTATTAAATATTTACTTTAATCAAACTTAATAACTTCTAATAGTTAAACATGTGTTAATAAAGGAGTTCTCTTGTCCTAATAAAGTTATAAATCATCATTAAAAGCATGTGAATAACCGACCATGCCTTACTAGAAATTTACAAAAGATATTTTTATAAAAATTAACCATTGCCAAAAATTTATTGAGGCAATAAGATATAATTTTCATATTCCGCATTTTATTATGTAGAGCCCATTATCTTCTAAATATTTAAAGGGCAACGGACTAAAAATAAAAATAGAATTACGATACAATTGAATTTAAAAAGGCTGATAAGGCAAAATAGCAACATTTATAGGTATTTTATTCTTTCCTTTGAAATTAAATTATATTCATTTCAGGAACTCCATAATTTTGTAGCATAAATATTTTCCTGTGCAGCAGATGAGCAAGTGTAGTGGAAAAAAAGGGGTCCAGGGACAGTTGTTATGTTGCTGGGGCACCAGGACCTCTACTGAACACCGGGATAAACAAAAGGCAAAGACCGGGCCAAGATAAACAGGCAACTTCTTATGCAGGCACGGCTTACTGTCGCTTTTCATGCGGCTAAACATGCCCGACGGTGCAGTTGAAATTTTATTTATTGCATTAACTCGAAACGGGCCGGCAACGCTGGAGTTTTCTTGGCGGTTGGGGCGGAAAAGTGGGCACAACCCATACCCGTGGGTAGCTCATAATAAACATAATGAAAATGCTGCTCATAATAAAGCGCACTAATCGACTGCTGTCGCTTTAAGTTTTATGCCTTACAAGATAAAAAAATTGATTTAAATTTCAAGTTGAAATGTTTAATGGGATGTTTAAGTTATTAAGCATACGTATATGAATAAATACATTTTATAAAAATTAACGTATGGATAAAGTGCTCCTTTTGCCACGAAATTGATTGTGTGGAAAATTTAATGTGCGCGACATTTTTCATAGTCTACTTTTGAGTGTTTGCAAATTGCATCGCCCACAGACTGCATAATTGCGAGCATATGTAAAACAACACCCCGTGCGTGTGTGTATTTTAATTGTTAACACTCACATTCACTTTGGCTGAGGTTTCTGTTTGAACATCGCAACTCATTTCAATAATAAAATTGACTTACTGGCCGCATTATGTGCGCCATTTATTTATTACGAGCGTAGAGCGGGGGCCAGTCGGCATTTATTAATGTTATTTGAGTGAAAATAATGATGTCGGTGTCCAGTTAAGTGTAAAGCACTTTGTGAATATTATTTTCCAATTAAAAGCTACCCCAAAAAGTCGCCAATCATCCATGGGCCGCGTTTATCGCTCCTCATGCAAGTTTTTGGCGTTTGGTAAAAAATGCGTTTGCCAATCGATGGTATTTCGGGTTCAATGCACCCGAAAGGCTCATAATGACTTGTGGTCCAGAGATAAGAGAAGAAAAGCCAAGATGATTTGTCTTGACACGTGTCAAGATGCTACACAGGGAACTCAATTAGTGGCTGCCACAAATTGGCCTCAGTTGATAGTTACGTTGAGGTTGCTTCTGTCCACATCAATGTCGTTGTCTAATTTCGAGAAGGCGGCAACAGAATTGTGACAGACGAAATATTTCCAAAAATAATATTTACAGTTGGGGTCAAAATAATGGACACGAAGAGGCCGAAATGTAATGTCAATTAATTGCATATCTGTAATTCAAATCAAAAGTGATGTGACTACTTATTAAGTTCTTAACAATGCCGACGAACTGATAAATTCAAAATTCCATGAGTTTAGCAATATTGATTAATCACAGTCACTAAAAAAATCTTCATTCTGTTTACCTAATTAATTGATTAATCTTTGTTATTATTAGTGCACGGAAGTCGTGGCTAATAGAGTTTATTAGGTCTAAAAAAGTGTTGGTTATTTGCTTTGTTTATTAATCATTAGTTTGATTAAAACAATTGCCACTTAATAAGTGGAATTATCGTATTTCTTTATGAAAAAATAATAAAGAAATTAATTTTATAAATTGAAAAACCATTTTTTCTTGTATAATAAGCTATATTTAGCTAATGTATTTGTTTTTTGTTTTCTAAACTTTAAAATTATATCTTAAAAATTACATTTATAAATTTATGCAGTGCCCGCCACTTAAACTAATGACATAATATAGCTGGTTCTAGCCAATTTAACGTTGTGTAAAATTAGGAAGAGATTGTGTTCGCCTTATGGGAATTTCCTTTGAAGCTATGCTTAAATCATAGCCAAAGGAAGCTCCTGCTGATCCTGATCCTTTCGCTCCGCTTCACAGTTCTGTGCTCTCCATCTTGGGATTGGCGTTCTTGATCCCCAGACTTCTCAGCTTGCGGAGTCGTTGGATTTGATGACGTAGTTTGTGCCGGAACACGATCTGGTGATTGACCGTCTTCAGTTCGTCGATGCTGCAGCCCTTCAAATTCCGCACCGTTTTGGCCAGGAGTGAGTCGGTGATGATGTACTTGGCCTTGGACAGCCTCATGTACTCCACTTTTTTCTGAGAAAGCTGCTGGCGGTACAAATACAGGTGATAGCCCACGCTCTCCGACTTGTGTTGCTGCTGTTGATAGCGATGTTGCTGCTGTTGATTGCGATGTTGCTGCTGTTGCTGGGTGATAGTTGCTGCCGGGTTGCTGTCGCTTTCGTTGATAAGTTTCTGGTAGCGGGGCATATTTGCTCGATGTATGTGGACTTCCGTAGTAATGTGTTGGGAATTATATGGGTTTGAAATTTTGTTGTGGCTAATGTTCTAGGCACTCCAATTGTTGCTCTTAGTAATATGATTGCTGTTGCTCACAGATATAGCTGAAGCCAATGCTGATGTTGCTTGCTCAACGTTTGCCAGTTGATTGATGCTCTGTTCACCACCCACAAAGGTTTTTATACATCCCGCGTACTGCCTGAAATTACCTGACCCTTTGCGATCCCGACTTTTTTGGGATCCTCGACTTGTTTTACCTGCGCGTTACCTGCATATTTGACTTACGCCCTGTCGGTTGGCATAATAAAAAACAATTCATTCTTAATCTGCTGCCGGTCATAAAGTTTTAGTATTTTGCAAACACTTTCATTCTTAATCCGTTTCACTAATCCGCCCACGCGGACGCCCCGGCAATTTACAACAAAAAATATACATTTCAACTGGCGCGTATAAAAAGATTAAGTGACATTACACAACGTATTTTCCCAAGCAGCTGAAAATATTTGCAAGCGGCTGCCGGATGAACATGCATTTTCCTGATGCGAAAAGGGTGAACTGCAGCAAGGATAAATGCGGGATTAGCGAGCGGAGACAGCTGCAACACCTTTCCTTTCAGGATTCATTAATGATCTCAGAGAAAGACGGCAGACACTTCGATGATCATTAGTAATGACATCCTAAACTGAGGAGAAATGTTCCTCCTTTATGCAGTATTTATACCCGTTACTCGTAGAGTAAAAGGGTATATTGTATTCGTGCAAAAGTATGTAACAGCTAGAACGAAGCGTTTCCGACCCTATAAAGTATATATATTCTTGATCAGGGTCACTAGCCGAGTCGATATAGCCATGTCCGTCTGTCCGTCTGTCCGTCTGTCTGTCCGTCTGTCTGTCCGTATGAACGCTGAGATCTCGGAAACTATAAAAGCTAGAAGATTGGCATTTTGCATGCAGATTCTAGGAGTTCCTACGCAGCGCAAGTTTGTTTCAAAAAGGTGCCACGCCCCCTTTAACGCCCACAATCGCTTATACACGATTTTAAAAATTTAAATATTTCGGAAAAGTAAAAATGCAGTTTTATTGTGTTTATCAATACCTATCGAAATGTAGAAGAAATTTTTCAAATCGGACCATTCGTTAAAAAGTTATGCGTGATCAAAGTTTCTATCTCCATCTCCCTCGCACTCCCTTTACCTGAGTAACGGGTATCTGATAGTCGGGGCACCCGACTATAGCGTTCTCTCTTGTTTTAAAGTAGAAAGCATTCAAAGCATACGTTTACTAAAATTAAGATAAGATATACTATTTAATAGGCCATTGATTTAAAGTGGTATTAAAAATGTCATAAATATTTTTAATTCCCAAAGAGTTAGTTTTAACTACAATTAAAAAATGTATTTCATTGTTTTATTATACCATTTAGTTTTTTCTATAGAAAAATGCCTATCCTTTTGGGAAAACATTTTTCAAGAGATACTTTGCATCTGGCAATATTGAGCTAATATTTTTTTATCTGCTGAAAAGCCACCCTAATTTATTCAGCTATTTTTCCGCTTCACATTATGCATTATTTGTGTAAAGGGAATGACTCTGCCACTTCAAAATCGCCCAGATCAAGTTTCTTAACTGCCTTGTCAGTGGAGGGCATTAGTAGTGGTGCAAAGTGCAGTCGGAAGAAAATGGAATGAAAAATGTCGCCTAGATTTCATGGCAACTTTTTATATTTTTACATTTTTTGCCTTTGCATAAACCATCATGTCAAATTCCTGATCAAATAATACAAAGTTCAACCTACTTTTTCAGCGCTAAAAAAATACGCGGCAACAAAAATAAAAGTAATCAGACGAGTCGGCTGGAGAGAGGTGGGAAAATTCGGGGGAAAGATAAGGGGAAGAAAGTGATAGACCTCTGGCAGAATTATGGCCACTTTTTCTTATTTTTTTTCTTAAACGTAACGAGACGAAACGAAACTTTTCAAAGTTGAATGTTGAAATAAGCAATTTTCGCGTTCAACTATAGAACATATATACATAGGGCAAGTGCCCGACTAGACAAGAAGGGGCTGGAAAAAAAATAAAAAAAAAGATTGAAAAGTAATTGCATTCAAGAGCTTGTAGTTAAAAATTTATGGCCATAGTGCGCAAGAATCTAGGCAAAAGGGCAAAAGCGGAACGGAGCGGAGCGAATGAAAAAATGAAGCTGATGCTGGTGTTTTTGCTGTTGCTGTTGCTGTTGCCTTTGCTGCTGGGAAATATTGAAAATGTAATTCCAACTGTTGTCTGCCCTCCGATGGTAATTGCAAAGACCGGCAGCTCGAACGGCGGTATTACCAGCAGCGAAAGCAGCAGTTCGAAATAAAAGCAAGTTAAATTGAAAATGAAATGCAATCAGCTTGAGCTCTTTGGCGCACTTCCTTGGACGCCAGATACTGTATCTACGGTTGTATTTTTATCTTTATCTGCTGGATGCATCTCTGTTTCGCAGCTGCATTATTAACGAAAGGTGTGAACATTTTAGCCGTGTAATTGACACAGCAGCATCAACTGCTGCTTTCTCAAAAAAACAATTTAAATAAAGTAGAAAAATGAAAAAGAAAGACGATTGGAGTTTGTAACTGTAAACAGTAATAAATATACGGAAAATATTACATAAAAAATAAATATTTTGGAGATTATTTAGATAGATTTAAAAATGTTGTTAAATAAAATCGATATATAAATCAAGTTACACTTTCTTTGAAAAATGTGAAAGTTAAGATTTGCTTTAACATATGGTCTATGTTATATGACTAATTATTATATTTTAAAGAATTAATAAAATATATTTTAATTTAACTTTCTTTCCAAATTATTATAACAGAATGAATTGCACACAATAAGTACAGCTTTAAGATGCTGTATAAGCCAATAATCGTACTTTAAGTAAATGTTTGCCAATCCCCTTCATACATGGATTTCCACAAATTTTTTGCTGTGCAATTTGCAAGCAATTTTTGGCCAATTTATGATGGGCAAACATTCAATGCCCACTTTCTGGCCTCGTTTAATGGCTTATTTTCCAGGGATATTTGTACAAATTTTCCTCTCCATCTGCCTGCACATCTCCCATGCACAAGTGAGCTCCTTTTCCTCCTCCGGCTTTGGCCAAGTCGGAGGAGGCTTTGCTGAGTGCACAATGAAATTGAAACATATTAAGGTGAGCTCTGGTCCACAGGCAGGCAGGGATTGGGATTTGGACTGGGATTGCCGGTGAGTTAGGCCAAAGGCAAATTGAATCGAATGTTGCATTTGTAGAGTGCTTAAAGCCTTACTGAACTGCGTTGGATTTTGTCAGTGTCACAACATTTGGAGGCACAAAGGCCGGACTCCCGACACTTATCGCCTAATCAAAATGTCATAAATCAGTTGTCCGGTGGTATGTTTGATTTGACAGTGGGCAAAGTGCCAGCTAAGCGTTAATTTGCCAGTCCTAGCACTGCGCTTTCGGTATAAATCAAATCAAATGACAATTAAACCGCCATTCAAAGTCAAATGCGACATTCGAATGCAAGGCACATGCGAAAAATGCAGCTGGCGAATTTTGCGGATTAAAAATGGTACCCGGGAGTGGGTTTGTGGTGGCAATTAATTAAGGCAAACCTCAGCGACATCGCTCAAAAGTATGCAACACACGAACCGCAAAGGCAATGAAATATTGCAATCACTAAAAGAATGAAAAGCCACCAAAAGGAAAGGGGCGAGGCGTTCGGTTGGTTAGTCGGAAAAGCCAGAGACGCTTGCAGCTTTTGGATGGTTTCCTTTCCCATCTTCATATCCATCTCCATCTGGGAGTAAGACTTCTTCTCCTTCGTCGTCTCGGTTGGCTGGCTGACGCCCGCTTGCCAAAATTAGTTTCTGTGTCAAAAGTTTGAAATGAGCAAGCTCCTCTTGGCTGCCAATACACAGATAAAAATAATTGATATTTTCCTACCCATTTAATCAATTTCATTACTTTTTATTTAAAAGATACGGTTTTTTATAAAGGTATATTCACGAAAAGGGTGAAGAATAATTAAAAAAATACAAAATATAATTTCTATAATTAGTAACAATTACAAAAAGCGATTTTAAACTGTCCTCTTATTTTAGATTTGGTAATATAACATTTAACTGTCAGTAAAATTAGTATTTAATATTATTTGCTTTTGTATGTATTCTTTTTAATAGCTTCATAAAAAAAATATTTATTTTATATGACTTTCATTATCCAAGTTAAACATGTATTTATTATACTACAGTTTTATGTCCCTTTTGTATATTTTTTAATAGCACAAAAATATTTATCTGATATGACGTTAATTATCCAAGATAAACAAGTATATATTAAAATAACTTTTTATGACGCTTTTGGGTATTTAAAAACATTGGGAATGTCAACTTTATAAAAAGACAATACCATTTATATTTGTTAGTTTGAAGGGCTCACCAGTTTTTCCGTGTGCCAGCCATCACCCAGTAAAAACTAACCAACGGAAGCCAAAGGAAAAACTACTCGGCAGAGGGTGAGAGGACAAAGTTTGCGCTGCGCTGATGTAGTTAAGAATTGGCAGCAAATGCTGCTTAATTTCAAAAGAAACTTTACGTATTTGTCATGCGGCGCACATTCATTGCGGTGTTCATTTGAGCGCTCATTCAGGCAGGGCGAAAACCCAGCCCAAAGCCCAAAAACCCAAACCTCGAGCCCGCAGACGTTGACAAACGTTGCCTTGGTCACTCGAGAAGAAGATGGAGTTGGCGATGATGACGATGATGTTTCTGCATCGGACACTCGTTTAATAATTCATCAGAATCACAGTCAGAATCGCAGTCAAAGAAGCCCAGATTCGAAAAGTGTGAGTTGGTGGCATATTCTCGTTAATTTGCGGTCGCCGAGCAGCGACTGTGGTCGACCTCTTCGCACTCTTCCACGGGCACTTGTGCGCCTCATTTCCTGTGGCCGACTGCCATTTGACTTGCAGTTTCCGTTTCCGTTTCAATGACGCTTTGATTGGCCTTGCGGTATCCGCCCTCCATTCCCCTCCCCGCAAAAGGTTTGACTATTAAGCGATAATTATTTGTGTGTGGGCAAAGCGTTTCTTCGCTGACCGCATCGCAAACTTTCGAGGCTGCGCGCACTTCAAATACGCGTTGTGTTTGGTCAAGTGGACTGGAATTCTTTCGGCCACAGTTAATGAGCGATGCTGATCTCTTGCCAGACTGACTTCAGTTAAAGAAAGTCAAGGCTACAAGCATCCTCTACCAAATTCGAATTATGTAGGTTAATTGAATTACTTATAAAAAAGATTATAAAAAGATCTTTACATTTACTAGTTGAATTTCAAGTTGATTTTAATTGCATTAATTAATTGAAAATAAAATATTGTTGCACTTCAAAATTATATATTTTTCTCCATTGAATTTAGTAAGTTATTTTCGAAACCAAATTAATTTAAAAATATATCAATATCGTCAAAAAAATAATTTTCTTTTTGATTTTCATATTTATATATTTTTTGATAAAAGCTTCAGGAAAGGCAAAAACAAATTATTTTTTATGAAACAAGAACAACCTTATTAAAATATTAAAAAATTCATTTCTTAAAATGTGACGTATTATTCTCCTCAATATGAACATGCTTTTAGTAACAATATCCAAAAAATGCAGTTGAAGGCCGCCAAACTAGTTCGCTGAGCAACTATTGATCCAGTTCGTCTCTCCAACGGAAGGAATAAATAAATATTTGATTGCAAATCCAAATCTGTTTGAGTGCGGCACACAAAATAGCCAAATAACGAAAGAGTCTCTCAAAAGAGCAAATACAATAAAACAGATTAAATTTGACTCGCTGAGTGATGCAAATACGTGCAGAATATTAAGATATTCGTACTTTATCTCACCTGCTTAATCTCGCTGTCTCGGCCGTTCAATGGTTTTCGTTTGTTTTGCTGGCGTTTTTTTCATCTGCTGCCTCTTGTCTGCAAGTAAACATAAATAAATTGTTATCTTATTAGTGCTGAGTGGTCGACGGTGGGTGTATGCGTTATTTGAATTTTTGGCATCGCACAGGCATACACAACAATTGCCAATTGCAATCTTTACGTTTAATTTAGCCGCTGAAAGTTGCGCGCAATTAAGCAGCCATGCAAGGCCTGAATTTATTTTATTTTATTTTATTTCATTTCTATTTGTATTCGCGGCTGAATTTGCATTGGCCACGCTGCAGATAAACAAACACGCTTCGTGCCTATCGGATCGGATGGGGAAATTCCCGGACCCGGGAGTGCTGGAAAACTTCATTATCGTATTATAGTATTGCTCTGCGGGTGCGTGGGCGTTGATTTCTTTGCCCGTAAACATTTCCGGGGCCGAGGTGGGATGCAGTCGTGTGTGAAAATGATTTTAAAATTGGCGCTGAATTGTGCAAATGCAAAGACAATCAAAAGGCAATGGGCGTTGATGATAATGGCGGAAAACAAAGCAAAAGCGAGTAAAGCGAGGGGGTAAAGTGAAATTTTGACAGCTTTTAATTGTGCAGCGAGGCGCGCAATACAGCTGAATATATATTTCTCCGATATGTATATACACATTTAACAGTCTTTGTCCCTTTTACGCCCGGCACGCAATCATCAAAACGCATCACGCGTCAGGGCCAGGCCCAAATGATAAGCTGCAGGTGAAAGGGGGAGGCGGCGGTGAAAGGGGGCGGGGCTGCAGGTGGCCAACTGTCAGCTTAACGCCTCAACGAGCAAAGTGAAGGCAAGATTGCATTTGCCTTGGAGGCCGCCGCAATTAACGCGGCATCATTTCTATCCATCTTCATGATATTTCAACTTGACTTGAATTCGTCGCATTTTAACCCTTGCATTTATTTGGGTGCAACATTTAGCAGTATAAACATTTTTTTGGGCAAAGAAATTGGTTAACTTATTTAAATGGCAGAGGAATTTTCACCCAAGCGATAGGAAGAATTTTGTCTAAAATTTTAATCAATTGTTATTTAATTTAAGTAACTATAGAAATATTTTTTTAATATAAATATAATTTGTAAGTCAAATATTTATCAAGATTAATAATTTATATTCACAATTTATATTTATTTAAATGCTGCCAAATGTTATACAATTAGGAGTGATTTAGAAATTTCTTTCAACACAAAATCAAATATTTTCCTCACAAAAACATGTTTATTTTCGACAGAGCGATTTATAATCATTAAAAATGTTCTTAAAATCCACTTGGAACATTAAAAACTCTGCAGATTCTATAAAACCGATTGTTTCTTTGGCTGGATTTTAAGCCATCCGTCTCGAAAACCATCAGAGGGTTAACTGCAGTTTAGCTTGAAGCCTGAGTTTACGACTGTTCCGTGCGAATCATCATTAATAGACCAAAGTGAGAGTTTTCTAGCGCTGCCGCCGCTCCTTGGTACTAATGGCAAAATGAGTGCGCACTTTAAGCCACCGCATCTCGGCCGAGAAAACGGCGAGGAGCAGTCATCATCAGTTGTGAACCGAGGTGAGCCCAAGGCCTCGGAGCTATTTATAACGCTTTTCACTCTCGCAAAAGCGGGCGCACACACACACGGCTTAATTAAAAACTGTTGAGCTTTTGCCTGCCATCGGCGGTGCATTATGCAAACGCACTGTACCACATCCCCATTCTGCCTTTCAATTGCACTGCACGGTTAACGAAGCATAAATCTCTCTGATAAGCTACAATCAAATGCAATCAAACTAAATTCAATTTAATGGGAAAAGTCGGAGGACTAGGAACCAGGAACTAAAGACTAAAGAGCAGCCGCCGAGCCAGAAATCTGGCTGCAAGTCGAGTGAAATCAGCTGGAAGGAAGCGGAGCAGCCGGCGACTAAATACAAATTACAAGCCCAAGCTCGGGTTCAATCTCCATCTCAATCTCGTTCGAAATCTCAATCTTTGCTTCGCTTCAAGGTGGCCAAATATTGGACGAAATTGATTAGATACGCCAGGTGAACTCACAACTGGAGCCGGATATAAAAGGCGGATTTAACGCAGTGGATAATCGTTAATCAAAAAACCAACCTTGCATTTATTTTACAATTTAAACAAGTGATATTATATAAATAAATTTGAAAGCAAGAGATTTAATGAACAATACAACTTTAAGGAAAGAAGTTTTTAACACGAGTTATTCTACGAAAATGGGATTTTTGATCTATCATTATTAGTTGTCTTAAAAAATAGTTTATTCCTTATGTTAGATTTATTGAACTGCCAAATTTTGGATGGTTTTTTGTTTCAAATAATATTTAAAACATTTAGAAATGTGCGAATGTATTGGTATCAAAGTTTTTATAAAACCTTAAAAACATCCACTGTATCCTTTAATCGTTGACTGAAATCTACCGCAACAGCTGTGAAAAGCGTTCCCAAAAACTCAGGTGAATCTAAATTCGGGGTTCGCTTAGAGCCAGTCAAGGTTGCTGCATAATCGTGTCCTTTCAGCGCGTTTATAAATATTTATAAACACGTCAAGACCCCATGCATGCTGGGTTACTTAATGCTGGATTTGGATTTCAGTTTTTCCCCCATTTCCCCGGAGCGGTGAAGTGATGTTCAGCGAGTGGGAGATGCGTGGAAAGCGAGCGAATGGCGATGCGGAAACTGCAACGCCAGAGACAGCTCCGCTTGTTGCAGTTGAAGGCAGTCTTCCCCTCGAAAAAACCCCCTCGATTTGCTCCCCCTCCACTAACAAACTCCCCCACTTCACTGGCAATTCAAGCGTTGCGAAAACGTTTCTGCCCCAGCAGCCGTAGTCTCTGCTTTTTGCCCTCTGTCTAGTCTATCTCTATCGCCCCTTCAGTGCACTCTTGCCCCATTTCCCCGGCACCCTTCTCCCTTCTCCAGCTCTCCGATTTTATTGGCATCGAAGGCTCGTCGACAGGCAGCGACCGCAGAACTGAGCCTCTGATATACACTCAGAAAATATCTATTAATTTGATTTGATACAATTTTCCAAATTATATATATACTTGTTGCTAGACAAGTTCTCTGCAATTTACTTTCTAAAAAGTTAATTTTTAAGTGGTTAAGTTACCTGTCTATGCATACGTATATCGCTTGCTAAGCTGGTTATAATATATATATAACACATCGTTGTTAATTAGATTTCATCACAATTTCACTAAGTTAATAGGAAACGAAGATATTATAGCTTACAAAATATAGTCTGAACTTCATCTCAGACTCATCAACTATAAAACAGATCTAGAAATTAACTAAGTCATCCAAAAAATACCATAATTGATTATAGTTAAGAAATATATAAAAATTCTGGTTGAGTTAATATTAATATTTGTAGAAATTGTAGAATGACTTTCATTGATTTTTCTCGGTGCCTTTGGAGCATTTCCCCGTCATCACTTTTTTCAGCTGCCTGGTGGATGCCTTTCGCCTTTGCCTTCGCCTTGCCACAACTTGCCGAATCTCTGTTTGTCTGTGTGTTTGAGTGAGTGTTTGCTTAACATTGTTCGATATTTGGTTCAGCGGTTGTCCCCGCTTCCCCGCCCCTTTTCCCTACTTTTTTCCACATCTCCACCGCTTTTTACCCCATCTTCTACGACGGCTTCTTGGCTTCTGTTCATTTCTTGACTTGGATGTTTATCTTCAATGATTTGCGATTTTCCGGCAATTTACGCAAAAATATGTGACGAAATTTCAGCACTCCCCTTGCAGCCAATCGCTGTGTGTGTGTGTGTGTCTGTGTCTAGTGAACTGCAACAGTTTCGTGTTTTTATTTCCATTTAAAATATCTATCTTCCGCCAGTCCCCCAACAATCTTTATGCGTTGCGCGCGTGATGTCACAGCCCCGAAAAATTTGCAGAGGAAATTAGCGTGCAAAAATGTTGATGGCAAATATTTGCGAGTGGGAGGGAGGGAGGTGGTTCCAAAAAACACAACTCCCACGCTCTTCCATTTGCTTAACGAATTTGGTAGATTGTCTCTGGTATTCGGCTGCAGTTAATTGAATTCGAAAGGTGAAAGGAAAACAGTCGGGGACGAATTGGAATTGGGATTGGTATGGGATCGGATCGGATTGGATCAGAGCGGATGGAAGTCGGCGATAACAATGAAATACTTCGTTGGCTGATTTATCGACCTGGAACAGCCATCGATTGTCGGCTGAAAAGGGCCGAGATTTGATTAGCGCAAAGTAAAGTGTTCAATTTTTTAATGCGGAAACAAAAAAGGTGAGAGGAAATATTCGAATGTAAAATCCAGGGTGAATCACATAAAATATATTGCAAATGACAAACATATTAATTTAACAACTTTTATTGCTTCCTCACTTTTTGCCTTTCCATTTCTTTCGATTTTATCTGTAAATAATAATATTTGCCTTTTGAGGCAAAGTCGGGAATGCTTGGCAAATATGCATAAAAATTGTTCAAATAAAATCGTTAATTTAATGCCTTGTGAAAAGCTTACAGCATCTCAGCCTCATCATTATCATTATAATCATCATTATTCCCGAGATAATTGTCGCCATTGCCGGCAGTGTAATGATCATGTGCCGATTTAATAATTAAAAGCAAACATTAAGCGACATCGTGGCAGCCCTACACAAACACTAAACGCACCATAAAGTGCTGGAAAAAAAGGAAAACAAAGGCAAGCGATTTACTTAAATGCCTGTAGGACAGGATGCCTCAAAGAAAAGAGCCCCCGCTGACCAATAGAGCCAGAGTTTACTACTTCTCCTTCCACTTCCGCACTTAGCAAAATAATAGTTTGTTTCGCCTCCCTTTTATTGACACTTAGGTTCTTTGATTACTAAATGTAAAATTAATTTTAATTTAAGACCGACATTTAGCCATATAACCTTGCATAAAGATATATTCGTTATACAGGTGCTTGATGTCTTAAGTTATTTTAAGTTAAATGAAATAGCCCTTTAAAAAATTAATTTAATTAGAAATAACTCAATTTAAGGTGTAT